AAAGTTAAGCCTGTTTTTCTGGTAGCACTACCTATGCCATGGGTCCTATGCCTGTCCTCTTTGCTATTTCCTTATTAAATATGTATGAGTTTAAGCATAATATCATATCCTGTGCTAAACAACTGCTCCAAGTATTTGTGCATAACTTTTAAGAGTTCGTTAAAATATAATAATTCAAGTTTTGATGACATATTAAAATAGACATTTGACCACTAATTCAAATAAGATTATAATCTTGATTAATTTGTATAATTACTTCTTATATTCCCATTATATTTGATTGATCTTAAAAACAAAATATAAACACTTATTCGATTACATCTAGATTTTTATGTCTTATTAAAATAAGCATTTTATATTACTTATATTGGTGTATATACATTTAAAATATAAAATTATATTTTAAGCCAAGAGTCTATTAAATTAAACAATTAATATTATGTAAATAGTTGATCAAATATATTAAGTACTGTAAATTTAATATCAAATATGTATTTTAAATAGCTAAAATCTATAAAACCTTGTAGTCAAACTAAGTTATTGCAACTAATTGTCTAATACAGGTATTAATAATAACTTATTGGACAATATGTTTAGTAAATATATAAATATTATTTAGTATACTATACTATAATAACTATAGAACTGATTTTGAAGCTTTTTATTTTAAATTCAAGACTTTGTTTACTTTCTCATAACTATTGAATAAATATTTAATATTTAAATAGAGTTTACCTTAAACTTAAAGAGCACCTGAATAAACATAGGTGTGAGCTCTTGTTCGCTACCTAATATTGTAACCACTTTTACGATTGAATTGTTGTTAGCGTTAGGCATAAGCACCGGTTCATAATGCAAGACTCGGTGTTGGCATTGGGAACAAAAAAGTTATCTCTGTATCGGTCACTCTCTCCCTCCATAACCACAGATCAGGGATACTATACATTAGTTCCGTCACAGCTCTTACCCACATGTTCTAGAAATACCATCACTAATACCAACAGTAAGTATTGACATTAGAAAATGTTTTGTCACCCAAAAGTTCAATTGATATGAAGTAATAATTAATAAATTAATATAAATAGCAATGAGAGAAGAATTACGATCTTTTGGAGTGAAGCCTTCTATACCATCGATACCCTCCATACGAAACAAACAGAAGTTGAATACTAAGACAAATTGCGTTAATTATTTTGATAAACTCGTCGATGAGTTAGTGATAAAAATATTTAGTTATTTAAACACTTATGAGTTATGCAGCTCTTGCTGTCGGGTATCCAGAAGATGGTATTATCTGACGTGGGATTCAAGTTTATGGCAGTCTTTAGTGATCAATTCATACAAATGTGAAAATTTGAATATTGATAGAGCGCTCATCACAATATTGAGGTTACTTTCCAGAGAGTCTTATTGTCGGGGAAAGACTCACTCCAATGGTTGGCAACTCTCATATAATACTTACTCCTCGACGGACACATCACTTACTAATTCATTAACTAATGAAAGTCTATCGCTTCCCATACAACGGATTGTAGTGAATGCATGTGACAAACTCACCGACAAGAGTCTTATTATGATCGCCAGAAAGTGTGCCTCAAAACTCACTTCAATTGAGATCAGATCGTGTACTCAAACATACTTTGGTAATATTTATTAGCAATTTATTGATTTCCATTTTAATTAAATTAATTATAATTATGAATTTAATTTAAACAGGTATTGCTAAAATACTTTCCAAATGTGTCAATATTGAGAGAATCGATATAACGGGTATGTATTGGTTGTAAAACTTCATAACAATTAGATTCCATTCATTGCCAACCCTTACACTCTGTCCACAATAGTGATGAACTGGATCTTAAAATAATGATTGTTTCAAAGATAAAGTCCATAAAACATTCGTTTAAAAATTTATTGATTTAAAAAGTTAACTGATAACCGAGTCCTGATTCTGTAGATTATCATGAAGTTGAATGCATTCGTATTCATTGATTACATTCAATAGAAATTATAATTAAATTTATATTTATTTTATTTTAGGTTCTATGAATGTATCCCTCAATGGTGTCCAACAACCGGAACATTTGCCAAAACTTCGTTATTTAGATTTAAGTGATTGCAACCAAATAGATGACTATTCCTTAAAAAACTTCTTGAAATTCTTTGGCCAAAAGTTAACGAATCTTTACCTTCGGAGATGTACTTCACTATCCGACCAATCAATCAAAAGTATAGCCACTTATTGTCCGGAACTAAAAGAGCTATCAATAAGCTATTGCCCGCAATTCACTGATTTTGTTTGCTATGAACTGAGTTTAGAGTTGAATACAAATCTCAAATATTTAAGTTTAGCTAAATGTCACCAAATAAGTGATTCAGGACTCAAACAAATCGCTAGACATTGTCCTAAATTGCGTTATTTAAACGTTAGGGGCTGTGAGACAGTGTCGGATGCGGGTAAGACATCAAAGTTTCAAAGTTTCAGACTTTCAAGTTTGTTTGTATTTTAATGTTTTCAATTACTTTAGGAGTAGTAGTATTGGCGCGTAGTTGTGGCCCGCGATTGAAAGCTATAGATTTGGGTAAATGTCAGATTACTGACAAAGGTATTCATTTTGCTTAAACTAGTTTTCAAATTACTATTTATAACCTAAATGTCACTAATTGGTGTTAATTATAATTCTAGGTCTAAGAGTTTTATCAGAAAAGTGTCCCAATTTACGCAAAATATCAGTCAAAGAATGTGCATCTGTTTCGGACACCGGAATTATGGCCATCGCTTACAACTGCAGACAACTAATACTCCTAAACATTACCAATTGTGATCACATAACCATTGAATCGTATCGTTATGTTAAGAGACTTTGCACACATTGCTTAATCCAACACTCAAACCCAGGATTCTCTTAAACACATGAGAATGAACTGACATTCAAAATATATTGCACCTTGTTAAGTAGCAAAACAAAGAATCCTTTAATTGAAATTTTAAAATCAAATCATGTGGTAATAGAAATTCAGTCATTAATATATTTAATATATCATTTAATTATTCTAAATATAAACATTTTTATATAATATACTGAGTAATCAATTATACTGAATAATGTTTGGGAAGACTTTAAATTTTAATGGTAATAGAAATTCAGTCATTAATATATTTAATATATCATTTAATTATTCTAAATATAAACATTTTTATATAATATACTGAGTAATCAATTATACTGAATAATGTTTGGGAAGACTTTAAATTTTAACAATTGTTTTTATACTGTATAATTTAAGTAATCATTTTATACTATCGGGTGTCCCAACGTAAACCAACTGCTTTTAATTAAAATTAAAAATATTAACAATTACATTATACTAACAAAATCTATACCAAAATGTTGGAAACTTATTAGAATTTCATGCTGCATTTATCAAATATCCATAAATTAACTACCCTGGTTATAATTATAGTTTTACTGCATGCATGTTTTTTATACATAAAAAATCACAATTTTCTTGCAGAATAAGCATTGATTCAAGTGACAGTTGTATTCCTATGGTATTACGTAAAATAGACATGCATGCAGTAAGACTAAAATTATGACCAGGGTAGGAAATTTATGGATATTTTGTAAATGCAGAATAAAATTCTAATAAATTTCCAACATTTGGTATAGATTTTGTTAGTATAATGTACTTATTAATTGTAAATATTTTAAATTTTAATTAAAAGTAGTTGGTTTGGTTTGGGACACCCGATATATAATGTTAGTCACTGTTGATATGATCGACACATTGTTTTTGTGTAATCAACAAATGTTCACCAAAAACTCGTAAGAATTAAATACATTTATAACAAATGAGACTAACATTAATCAATTGTCGACGAATTAGATAGCAATGAATTGAATGCAATTCACTGAATAAAACTGATAAGAAAGCAAACATTGAGAGAATAAATATCACAAAAAGTTACTAAACTTTTTATTCAATCATTCATTACATTTAAGTTATATTGTGTTGA